ACGGACCCTTGCTGGGGGGAGTCGGGAGGGCAGAGTCTGGACGGGCTCCGGGGCAGACGGGAGCGTCCCCGGGAAGGGCGGAGGACGCGGGCTCGGGATCGGGGCGCGATCCCTACGGCCCCGGAGCCGCCGGCAGGGAAGGCTGCGGGCAGGCGGGCCGGGGCTGCGCGGCAGCGAGCAGGGCGTCCAGCGCAGCCCCCGCCCCGTGCAGGGTCGCCCCCGCCTGCGTCAGCTGCCAGGCGAGCCAGGCGCGCTGCGAGGCCGCGGGCTGCGGGCCGCGGGCGGGCAGCGGCAGGAAGGCGCCTCCGGGAGCCCGCAGCTCGCCCAGGGCCACGTCCAGCGCGCCCACGTGGTTGAAGAGCCGGGACAGGGGCCCCGACAGGGGCGCGCGGGCTTCTGGCGACAGGTGGTGGCGGCGCTTTCGGGAGGCGGGCCCGGCCTCTCGCCTGTCCTGGAGGAGTCCGCCGCCGGCGGTCCTCTCTGGAGACCCGGGCAGGGTCCTCCTGTTCTTGAGCTGCAGGGCGGTGTGGGCAGAACCTAAGCGGGAGAGAGAAAGGGAGGTGTTGCCGCGAGTGCGCGCGGCCCCTGGGACTCCCTGCCAAGGTCCCCAGAGCCGCTTCCCGCTCCTGCTCCCGACTCCAGCCCCCTGGCCCCCACCCGGCCCAAGCCAGCACGCCCGCCCGCCTCTGGGCCCCTCCCAGGATCTGACCCGAACCCGCGCCACGTCGGGCACGCCTTCCTCTCAGCCCTTTCGAAAGGGCTCCCGGAGCATCTCCCCAGGGCCTGTGTCCGTCCCCTGCCCCTGGGCCCTGGGTTTGCCACCGAGGCCCCCCACCCACGTCCCCACCTGTGCCAAGGGCCGGCCCAGCAACTTACCTCCTCTGCCCTGACGTCCTGCTCTGCTGGGGTCAGCCTTGTCCTTTGGTCTCCCCTTAGCTGGGGATGGTCGTCCCCTCACCTTCTCTTCTCCCCGTCTGTGTCCGTTTTCTTGGTGGCGACTGCCACGGGGGCCCTCAGGGCTTCTCCCCCGCTTCAGCCTGGAGCCCTCAGCCCGCAGGCTCCGCTTGGCGATCCCTGTGGGTGGAGAGGAGGGGAGTAGTGAGTGGCCCCTGCCTGTTCTCTGGAGTCTGGGAGAGAGTGGGTTGGAGGAGGCTGCAAGTCCGTGCGAGCCACACCCCCAGAGGCCTGCCGGCTCCCTCCAGCTGCCCACAGCCTCCGTGGGCAGCTCCCCAGGGCCCTAGCTTTCCTGTCCCTCTCCAGGTGACCGGGCCGCCTGGCATGCACGCTCCTGGAAACCCGACCTCCTGTCCAGACCCGGAGCACGGCTCAGCGGGCAGAGCCCTGACCACAATGAATCCGGCCTCCCCCTTAGGTTTCCCTGGCCGCCTTCAGCCCTGGGAAGGTCAGAGATCCTGGCGCCTGCCGCTATGCCCATCCCAGCCCCATCGCCAGCCTCTCCAAAGCCTCCCAACCCTAGCTGAAAACCCATCTCCCCCAGCGAGAAGGTGGAAGCTTACCTTCTCTGCTGTGAGAGCCCTCTGCGGTCTCCAGGATTCCCTTCGTCGCCCGCCTTTCAGAGGGATGGCGATGTTCTTCCTTCCCTTGGAAGGGCAGGTGTCCCTTGGAGTCCGTCCCTGGGTCTTCCCTATGGGAGGGCCCTTGTCTCCCTGGGTGCTCCTGGCCAGGCCTGCTGCCACGTGTGGCCCCTTCCATTTCATCCACGTCTCTGGCCTGTGCTGCAGGTCTGCAGAGCTGAGGCGAGGACCGGGGCAAAGAGCGGATGGGCAGAGGGCGTGGCTTGTGAGGAGATCCCCCCTGGGCCCCCAGCTGGGCGGGACTCAGGTTGAGCCTGGGAGCCACACCCCCAGTGGGGGAGGGGACCCGAGGAGAGGAGGTCCGTTGGGGGAATTCCCCTGTCCTGCTTGGTCTCCGGGACTCTCTTGGCTGCTCACTTCCGAGCATCCGGAGCATTCGGGCTCTCTGCTGCGGGTCACTTCCGATGAGTACTATTTTTGGCGTTGGTTTCCCGGGGCTTTCTCTCCCTTTGTCTCCACAGTTCTGGGTGACTGCGGGTGTCCCAGCCTGGTACGCTCCAGGCCGAGGCTCAACCCAGGCTGAGTGTCAGGGAGGAGAAAACCTCCGAGTTTGGGCGGAGCTCCATTCTCTGTGGCCGCTACTCAGGGCTGCCATCGTGGCGGGCATGCCACCGGCGACTCCACGGATCCAAAGGGTGTGGCGATGCTGCCGATTCCTCCTGTAGACCCAAAGGGCAGCTGCACTTGCAGCCCGAGGGCCATCGCCCAGGAACCTCTGCTCTCCACGACACTGCAAGTTTTGAATTTGTTCAAACCTTCCTCATTCTTTTCTCTTCACTCTCCTGCATCACGCAAGGGTTGCTCTCGCTCGTCCAGTGAAAATCCTGCCAGGCTATGCCGTCCTCATTTCTTTAAACCCAGAAGCTTCTGCCTTTCTCACCGACAAGGCTCATGGAGGGAAGGACACGAAGCTCAAAGGACTCCAGGGAAAATCGTGAGAGAGAGGGCAGAAGCAGATTTGCAAGTCCTGGGCTGTTGGCGCTCACCGGTGATGGGACGGAAAAGCCACGTGTTCACAGTTCCATCCAAAAGAGTTCTTTGTCATCTCACCTCAGGGGAAATGGCAGGGCAAGATGATCTGAGGCTCTCAAGATCTCCACCACCGGTGTGCCTGCTGGAGCCTCATCCACCTACCCACCAGCAGGGGGCTTGGTGGAGGGCATCCATGTGTCTCTACCCTAGTCACAGACCAAGCCCTAATCACAGCTACAGGATGAACCTTGATCCCAACCACAGTGTAAACCATAATCCCAGTAGTAGTTTGAACCCTCATCCTGGCTATAGGCTGAGCCCTGACCCTACTCACACACTGACTTGATCCAGACTCACCATGAAAATTACAAATTGGCCAAGCACAATGTTAGAAACTACTAGTGAATGTGAAAACATGAGAATAAAATGCATTGTGAATCAAAGTCCTATCTCTGTGGTCTCTCTTCATTTCACTTCAAATTTTAATTGTAACTCAATTTTGCTAAGTTAGAGAGAAAGACTATAATCAACCCCACGCTAACATGTTGTAAAGAACAGGCTCGAGGCAGGGGAGTGTGGCTCGAGGAAGCCTAAAGCAGAGCTGGCCCTGCAGATGGTGGTGGAAAGACGGGTAACCCTCTTCCTGCTCTCACAAGATGGCAGGCTTATTTTAAGGGCGCTTTAATAGCTTTAAAAAATGGATTCAAAGAACACTGGGGGAAGCCTCTGATTTTGAGGGTGAAATCAAGGTTTTTCTCAAGGGCGTGAGAAAAAGTGAAAATTATGTTCTCAGTTTGCTGCTGTTTAGCCAACAGAGGGCAAACAGTACCTCTGAGCATTTATTCTTGAAGCTTCTAGTTTCTTTTTCCTCTCCAACAGCCACTGGAGGGAGGGGGATGTGAAAAGCAATACGATCAGAATGTAATGAAGGAACAGACCTCCCTTGGAGTCAGATACCATTGTTTACAAAAAAAAAGGCCCCTGTAAGCAGAAGCCTCAAAATCAGGTGGTCTTTCCACCACCATCTGCAGGGCCAGCTCTGCTTTAGGCTTCCTCGAGCCACACTCCCCTGCCTCGAGCCTGTTCTTTACAACATGTTAGCGTGGGGTTGATTATAGTCTTTCTCTCTAACTTAGCAAAATTGAGTTACAATTAAAATTTGAAGTGAAATGAAGAGAGACCACAGAGATAGGACTTTGATTCACAATGCATTTTATTCTCATGTTTTCACATTCACTAGTAGTTTCTAACATTGTGCTTGGCCAATTTGTAATTTTCATGGTGAGTCTGGATCAAGTCAGTGTGTGAGTAGGGTCAGGGCTCAGCCTATAGCCAGGATGAGGGTTCAAACTACTACTGGGATTATGGTTTACACTGTGGTTGGGATCAAGGTTCATCCTGTAGCTGTGATTAGGGCTTGGTCTGTGACTAGGGTAGAGACACATGGATGCCCTCCACCAAGCCCCCTGCTGGTGGGTAGGTGGATGAGGCTCCAGCAGGCACACCGGTGGTGGAGATCTTGAGAGCCTCAGATCATCTTGCCCTGCCATTTCCCCTGAGGTGAGATGACAAAGAACTCTTTTGGATGGAACTGTGAACACGTGGCTTTTCCGTCCCATCACCGGTGAGCGCCAACAGCCCAGGACTTGCAAATCTGCTTCTGCCCTCTCTCTCACGATTTTCCCTGGAGTCCTTTGAGCTTCGTGTCCTTCCCTCCATGAGCCTTGTCGGTGAGAAAGGCAGAAGCTTCTGGGTTTAAAGAAATGAGGACGGCATAGCCTGGCAGGATTTTCACTGGACGAGCGAGAGCAACCCTTGCGTGATGCAGGAGAGTGAAGAGAAAAGAATGAGGAAGGTTTGAACAAATTCAAAACTTGCAGTGTCGTGGAGAGCAGAGGTTCCTGGGCGATGGCCCTCGGGCTGCAAGTGCAGCTGCCCTTTGGGTCTACAGGAGGAATCGGCAGCATCGCCACACCCTTTGGATCCGTGGAGTCGCCGGTGGCATGCCCGCCACGATGGCAGCCCTGAGTAGCGGCCACAGAGAATGGAGCTCCGCCCAAACTCGGAGGTTTTCTCCTCCCTGACACTCAGCCTGGGTTGAGCCTCGGCCTGGAGCGTACCAGGCTGGGACACCCGCAGTCACCCAGAACTGTGGAGACAAAGGGAGAGAAAGCCCCGGGAAACCAACGCCAAAAATAGTACTCATCGGAAGTGACCCGCAGCAGAGAGCCCGAATGCTCCGGATGCTCGGAAGTGAGCAGCCAAGAGAGTCCCGGAGACCAAGCAGGACAGGGGAATTCCCCCAACGGACCTCCTCTCCTCGGGTCCCCTCCCCCACTGGGGGTGTGGCTCCCAGGCTCAACCTGAGTCCCGCCCAGCTGGGGGCCCAGGGGGGATCTCCTCACAAGCCACGCCCTCTGCCCATCCGCTCTTTGCCCCGGTCCTCGCCTCAGCTCTGCAGACCTGCAGCACAGGCCAGAGACGTGGATGAAATGGAAGGGGCCACACGTGGCAGCAGGCCTGGCCAGGAGCACCCAGGGAGACAAGGGCCCTCCCATAGGGAAGACCCAGGGACGGACTCCAAGGGACACCTGCCCTTCCAAGGGAAGGAAGAACATCGCCATCCCTCTGAAAGGCGGGCGACGAAGGGAATCCTGGAGACCGCAGAGGGCTCTCACAGCAGAGAAGGTAAGCTTCCACCTTCTCGCTGGGGGAGATGGGTTTTCAGCTAGGGTTGGGAGGCTTTGGAGAGGCTGGCGATGGGGCTGGGATGGGCATAGCGGCAGGCGCCAGGATCTCTGACCTTCCCAGGGCTGAAGGCGGCCAGGGAAACCTAAGGGGGAGGCCGGATTCATTGTGGTCAGGGCTCTGCCCGCTGAGCCGTGCTCCGGGTCTGGACAGGAGGTCGGGTTTCCAGGAGCGTGCATGCCAGGCGGCCCGGTCACCTGGAGAGGGACAGGAAAGCTAGGGCCCTGGGGAGCTGCCCACGGAGGCTGTGGGCAGCTGGAGGGAGCCGGCAGGCCTCTGGGGGTGTGGCTCGCACGGACTTGCAGCCTCCTCCAACCCACTCTCTCCCAGACTCCAGAGAACAGGCAGGGGCCACTCACTACTCCCCTCCTCTCCACCCACAGGGATCGCCAAGCGGAGCCTGCGGGCTGAGGGCTCCAGGCTGAAGCGGGGGAGAAGCCCTGAGGGCCCCCGTGGCAGTCGCCACCAAGAAAACGGACACAGACGGGGAGAAGAGAAGGTGAGGGGACGACCATCCCCAGCTAAGGGGAGACCAAAGGACAAGGCTGACCCCAGCAGAGCAGGACGTCAGGGCAGAGGAGGTAAGTTGCTGGGCCGGCCCTTGGCACAGGTGGGGACGTGGGTGGGGGGCCTCGGTGGCAAACCCAGGGCCCAGGGGCAGGGGACGGACACAGGCCCTGGGGAGATGCTCCGGGAGCCCTTTCGAAAGGGCTGAGAGGAAGGCGTGCCCGACGTGGCGCGGGTTCGGGTCAGATCCTGGGAGGGGCCCAGAGGCGGGCGGGCGTGCTGGCTTGGGCCGGGTGGGGGCCAGGGGGCTGGAGTCGGGAGCAGGAGCGGGAAGCGGCTCTGGGGACCTTGGCAGGGAGTCCCAGGGGCCGCGCGCACTCGCGGCAACACCTCCCTTTCTCTCTCCCGCTTAGGTTCTGCCCACACCGCCCTGCAGCTCAAGAACAGGAGGACCCTGCCCGGGTCTCCAGAGAGGACCGCCGGCGGCGGACTCCTCCAGGACAGGCGAGAGGCCGGGCCCGCCTCCCGAAAGCGCCGCCACCACCTGTCGCCAGAAGCCCGCGCGCCCCTGTCGGGGCCCCTGTCCCGGCTCTTCAACCACGTGGGCGCGCTGGACGTGGCCCTGGGCGAGCTGCGGGCTCCCGGAGGCGCCTTCCTGCCGCTGCCCGCCCGCGGCCCGCAGCCCGCGGCCTCGCAGCGCGCCTGGCTCGCCTGGCAGCTGACGCAGGCGGGGGCGACCCTGCACGGGGCGGGGGCTGCGCTGGACGCCCTGCTCGCTGCCGCGCAGCCCCGGCCCGCCTGCCCGCAGCCTTCCCTGCCGGCGGCTCCGGGGCCGTAGGGATCGCGCCCCGATCCCGAGCCCGCGTCCTCCGCCCTTCCCGGGGACGCTCCCGTCTGCCCCGGAGCCCGTCCCGACTCTGCCCTCCCGACTCCCCGAGCAAGGGTCCTTGGCGGCAGTGAGCACACCCAGGCGACGAGCTCCCTCCCACAGCGCTACACCATCCAACTGTCCGGGAAACAGTGTTAGGCCCCGACCAGGCCTCCCTTCCTACCAGGATCCCCGCTCAGGGAAAGTGCTTCTCGTTTCCAAAGGACAGCCCGTGAAGATGAGCGCTCAGAGCAAATCCCTTCTTTTTCTTCCAGGGGCTCGGATGACCAGCACTCTCACCCATTTGGACCTTTGCACCATTGCGTGTTTTCCTGCTATAGGAAAAATAAAGCCTGCACAGAGAAACATCTGTGTGTGCGTGTGTGTGTTAGTGTGTGTGTGTCTTCATTTCTTCGTTTTCGTCCTAGCCTGGACCGGACTGCAAAGACAGCTGTATTTGGGGCGAATTTTCCCCAGAGACTGCCTTTCTTCGAGGTGAACGCTTAAAAACCCCCCTGGACCCAAGCCCTTACCTCGGATGAGCGCACTGGGTTGTCTGAGGGATGCTCCGTGTATTGAAGGCCTCTTTGGCTCTTGCTGCAGTGTCCTACACGTTTCAACCGTTTGCCGCTGTGGTCCGGTAGACAGACTTGTGAGGGATTTGTTAGCCCCTCGAGTCTCTTCTTTGGCCACTTTTTCTCTTTGAACAATTCCTGGTTTTACCCCCATGCTTTTGCACTTTACCACGTTTGCAGATATTCATTGGCATGCCTCCGACGAGCATGGTGTAAGGGCACACATCGATGGAAGGCTTGCAAACCTAAGAACTCCTCGCTGGCTACTATGGCTCCCATTGACACATGGGCTATTTCTATCACGCCACTCTGCTGTCTACACCCCACCCCACGGCCAAAGCACCGATCTGACGCTTCTTCTTTCCGAGGTTTTCCTTTTCACAGTCGTATTGAGCATTCGCTCTCACGTCCCCATTTGGCTGTGCTCCTCTTAAAGGTTTCTGCTTTCACTGCGCGCCACCGACTCTTGTCTGTCTCAGCACTCTCCCTTAACCGGAATAAGACAAAAAGCGAGGAAGGCCGTGTTTTCCCTTTCGAATCGCTGTCGTGGTCCGTGGCGGTGAAAGTACAGATCTGCTTTTCTTCTTGCTTTGGGGACCTCTCTGAAATAGGTGTCCTCCCATGTGAGATTGAGCAAAAGGCTCTGGGTGATCTCTCGCAAAGTCACTGGGAAAGGGACAGGGGGCTGAGGTCAGGCACCTTCAGTTCCAAA